CCTCCCTCCCTCCCTCCCTCCTCGTCCCCCCCTCCCTCCCCTTTCCTCCGTCCGTCCATCCCTCCCTCTGTGACATCCCAAGCTTTTTCCGCGGACGTTTGTTGAGTGAAGTGGTGACGGCGATTTGTACGTTGTTGAGGGTATGTCCTTGTGTCTTCCCACAGTTTTGTGTGTTCGAAATTCCACCGGTTATAATACTATCGTCAGTGGCTAAGCTTCTCTGTGTGATTGGTGGAGTACGTGTGCCATATGTGAGGCAGCGTGGTGGAATCAGGCTCTCGTCAATTTTTGGGCAAGTAGAGTTTTTGGTATAATCTTAAAACTTGTTCACTTGTCTTTTTTTAATGAAAAAATATCCATTTATCTTGGATACAAGTCGAGATATTTGCGAAAAAAGTGGTGTGGGTCATCTGTTTTTAGAGGTAAAATTATGTGAAAATGGCAGCCAAAGATTAGTTATTTCCTTAGCTTAAGAGTCCGTTGTAACTGAAAATTTATATTTTTTGTGCCTTTAATTTTTCAGAAAAATCCACACAGAAATCTGTTCTGTGATGGGCAGGAAAGGTGTTGAGCCAAAAAACAAAAATTTGATAAAAATTCACAAACCTGCGGAAAAATGCAAGTTTCTTCACTTTGATTATTTTGACAAGAGCCTGATTTCACCACGCTGCCTCACATATTACCTTCCTTTGTGTGAGTGGTCGGTGAGCAGTTAGTTCCGTTTGATAGTTCAAAAGTAAGTAAAGTAACAAGTTGTTGGAACATTCCGTTTTGTGCTTTAAAAAGTTTTCATAGAACATTCCGCTCTGTGCTTAAGTTAATTCGTTTTCACATTGCGTGACCCTAGTGCTTTCTTGTCGCATTTCCATTTTTTTTAAACATTGAAAATGTGACTTTTTCTTAATATCACTCTTTGATAATGTTATGAACTGTTTTCACTGTTACTAAAAATGGATGGAGATACGACAAGAAAGCATTGAGGTCGCGATTGGCTTTCTCTTTTGTGGGTGTTTGGGGGACGTTTAGTTGTGGTTTAATTGCTTCTTCTTTCATATCATCAAACGTCTATCGTCATTATCTCTCCTCCGTCTTTTCTTTGTGTGTTACTCTCTAGTGACACTTCTAATCTTCGGCACTTCTGTGACCTGTTTGGGATGCAGATGCTGTAAAACTCTCACTACAACCAAACTAAGCTCTACTTTTTTATTTTAAAAAAGATATTTTAGAGTTCTTTTTTATTATTCTCAAAGCGCCTCCTTGTGGGTGGTTGGTGGGTGCGCTGGTGCGGTATGTTCCTTCTTTCCTATCAAATACCTATCGTCCTGATCTCTACTTCTCCTTTGTGTTTGTTACTCTCTTGTAACACCTCTAATCTTCGGCACTTATATAACCTTATTGACTTGCAAGTGCCGTAAAACTCTTACTAAAACAAAAAAACAAAACAAAAAAGCAAAACAAAACAAAAGCGCCCCCTGGGCAGTGTTGGGAAATGTAAGGAGCTGACTGCATTGACCATGTAAGGCAGGACAATTGGGAACTAGGCGGGTGACACCTTTTCTTTAACTCTTTAGGGGCGTATCAGACACATTTGTCCGGCAAGAAACAGATCAAGGGCAATAATGTGGCTCATTCTGAACCTACATACACAAACCAAAAGCACAAGGCTGTACATTTCGTAGTTAACATGTTGTTTTTAAAAAACGTTTTAAGGCTCGGAAAAAAGAAAATATGTTGGGGAAATGTGTTAGGACAACGACGTTAAGCTGCTTCAAACGTTCGAAAGACCAGAATGTTCGTCCTCAATGATTTAACGGAAAGACGGGGCTGCTGGATAATCTAATGTTCCCGCGAGGGAACTGAACCCAGGTCTTCTGAGTGTGGGGCTTGAACGTTTTGCTCTCGACGAGCAGCGGTTGGGTCTCATTTCAATTTTGGGAAACCTGTCTAAAAAAACCTGTATAAAACTAGGTTTTATCTGAATATGTTATAGTGTGAATAATCATATCAGTTCACACAAAAAGGGCAAATCAACCCCCCCAAAAAAATTACATTAATTAATTAACGTTTTCTCATACTGAAAACAAAGAATCGGTGGCGTTGTTCTTTTATTTCTGATGGAGCTTCTATTTTGTCCAGGTGAACTTTAGAGAGTAATCAAATTTCAAGGTAAAAAAAGGAAAGAAAAGAAAAGGTAGCTGTCATTGTCTTTGTTTTCTTGACGGTAATGGACGTTTTTGTGAATTTTTTTTTTGGTAAGTGTTTTACGGCGCTTGCATACGGTCATATGAGCGGCAGGACATATTAAACATTTTCAGTTGGCAGGAAATTTTAAATTTTGCCCGGGTGGAGGCCGAAGCCCACTCTTATCTATTTTAGACCAACAAAGGATCTTTGATGTGCGCAACTTGCACTCGGGACCTCCGAGATCTTTTTGCTCTTGTCCGAGAAGGCTAGGTGGAGATCTTTCCTACCAGAAGATCAAAGGTGTGGCTGAAAGACAGCAGTAAGAAGGGGCCAGGGAGAAGGAGAAGAAAGGCTGCAGAAAGAGTTAGGAACCTAGAGGAGGGGGGCAAAGGAGGTGAGGGGTGGGGGCAGAAAGTGGAAATGAAAGCAGACGACAGAACATTGTTAGAGAGCAGTTTGGGTGAGTAAGATCATGATGGACGCGACCAGCACTGTGGGCCAGTTAGATGGGCGTGTTCACGGACGCTCACAGAATGGAAGAAAGTCTGGACAATGCCAAATGGACAACTGGTTGCTTTTAAGGACCAGCAGGCTAACCCAGATTTCGAGGGTATCCAGAAATCTTGACCTACACCAAAAGTGGACATTGCCCTACCAAAAGGAGAAGTTTCATTTCATTGGTATGCATATTTGTTCGGTTATAGAGAAAACTCTCCTTGACTTTCAAAGAAACTGAACAAGGGGCAAATACTATACCTTCGATTTTCTCAAAAGAGCATTTTTCGGGATAGCCCCGAGGTGCGTAAAAGCGACCAACTTGTCGACATCATTGCACAGACACTAAGTGGCGAATTGCCCTGATATTTTGCTTGTGCCTCTGAATTAAAACAACAACAACAAAAATCCCCCCCCCCCCAAAAAAAAAATTAATAAAAAAATAAATAAATAAAAAAAAATAAAAGAATAAAAAAATAAAAAAATTAATGAATAAATAAATAAAAAAATCGATTTTCGTGCACATGCGACAAATACAAAGAGGTGTTTTCTATACAATCATTAGTATATAATTACAGTCTGAGCAGGGATTACTTCATTAGAACATGAACGGTAGTTGAGTGTTAGTTTTTTTCTTCGTTTGTTTAAATATATTCGTTTTTTTAAAAACTGGCTGCATGTGCTATAAGATTGAGTTGTTTTCCGTCCAATGGTTAGTGGATGACAGTGGGCTTTTTAGATTGACAAATTGTGATATACAATGAGTAAATTTTCTTTCATACCTTCAAAGTCTTTGAGATCGCATGTCTTTCACTTTCAATTTGCTGTCGGTTTTTGGTTTCAATAATAATCATTGTTAGATGACATAATTTACAAAAACAAACAAACAACAAAAACAGCAAACCCCCCCCCCCCCCTCCAAACAAACAAACAAAACAGCTTTCCCTTAAAACTGCTGTACTATTTCTCAAGAGAAGCTGATTGAGTCCGTCTCTTTTTATTCTGAAACAAATCCCGAAAAAAGGGACATGACATGTATGTGCGTATGAGGGGGGGGGGGGGGTAGCATGGTTTTAGCGTGGCACCGTTCTTGCTATAAAAAAAATGTGCGATGTTGAATTTAACGAGCAATTAATTATTAAAGATTACATATAGACAGCACCTCTTTATGTATGCACAGAAATCGTGATTTTTTAAAAGGTGTTTTAGAATTTTGAAGCGCATGCAAAAAACAGAGACATTCGCCGCTTAGATTCATTGTAATGAGGTCTTCAAGTTGTCCATTTGATGTTGCGCGGACTATAGTCATTTCAGTAGATTGTACTCGTCCAAGCTTTCCTTCGTTTTGTGAGGAGGGTGGGATGGGGGTGGGGGTGGGTGAGTTGACCCACTGTCTAGAACGCTTCACAACTTATGTGGATTTTTAACCGTATCCGTACGTCGTGTTTTACTATCGTATCCATACGACGTGGGGAACTCTGTGCCACCACTTTCCAAAGAGGAAATTTACTCGTTAACCCGATCCGTACGCTTTGCATAGCAGTCTGTCAAACTGATTTTTTGAAGAAATACTGAAAGTTTCAAAGAGATCTTCGTACTAGAAGTATACTAAAACGTGAAGAATACAACCCCAGGGGTACAAAATGACCCCAGGGCGTATGGATAGGGTTAACAAACCTAGTGCGAAAGAACGTACTTCTAGGTCAGGGTAACCGATCTTTCCCATAATTCGTAGACACGTTTGAAGCAAAATATCTCAGCAACCACTTGTGCGATTTTAACCATATTTTTAGCCATAGTTTTGTGTCCCCACTACATGATGAAAATTCAAATTAGTTAGCTAATTAATGACTGGTTATTCAATTACTCTTTATCATTTGTGCTTCACATGTAGTGCTTACAGTGTCTTTTAGTTTAGTTTAGTTTTAGTTTTAGTAAGGTTTTACGTCGCTCGCAACTGCATAAGGTTTTGTTTTTGTTTTTTGTTTTTTTCTCTTTCTTTTTTTATATTTTTTTAAAATTTAAATGACGGATTAAATATCCATCCTCAAGACAAAGTAATAGTTAGATAATTTTCCCTTTACAGTGTCTATAATCCAAACACGAAAAGACGTGCGCGTTCAAGGGCGCACCCAAAAAAAAAGAAAATAATTTTGCAAGAAGTTAATAGTACAAATTATAAGCATTGACCTACTGTACCTTTCTTCCGTCAGAGAGTCAACATGGGTTGATGACCGCTCTTGGTTGGATCACCTGAAGTCCTTCCTTCTCCCAATACTCGTCCAACATACGTTTTACATGCGTCTCACACCTCCGTCATTAAACTTTGTCCACTCGAGATAACTCTGTTATCTGTTTGACATCTTTCAATTTAAAGGTTGTATTTTGAGATGCAACGGAGCCTTTAATCTTCACCCAGGCGAGTTCAGTTGGATTTAGATGGGAGTGATAGGGTGGCAAC